AGCGCCAGAAAATGATAATTGACACGGAAGAAGTCTGGGACGGTTTAGCAGCGTCGGGGCAGCAAGCGGGTGGCTTCCGCCGGGCGCGATGGGTGGGCGGGAAAGTGAGCCGCCGGCGCGAAGCCTTATAGGTGAGTAGAAAGTGCTCTCGGCGCGCGTAAACTGGAATTCGAGCGGCCGCCGATGCTTAAAGAATGCCCCCCTCTCCTCTTCCCCCCCCGCCCGCGCATGCCGGCGCACAGACCGTGGCAGGCGGCCTTGCAACGGCAAAGCGGAGGCGAAGGGCGGCGGGCGTCAATCCACTAAGTATTCCAGGGCACGATGCGTCTCCATGGCGACCGGCGGCGATAACTGGCGCCCGCGGCGAGGAGGGCGAGCGGGCGGGCGCAGCGGGGCTTGGCCTAGGGCCTGTCTGCTTTGAACGCGCACGGGCGACATGCGCATTTTCTAAAGTTCATTACATGTCCCTCCGTACGCCGTTTCCCAAATGATCGAAGGAAGGCACGATGTGACGTGCCTGGTCGTGTATTAGCCGACCAAGACCGATGGCGTCTTTCGCCTAGTCCGCGCAAATGCATCGGGTCGGGAATGACCTTTTCGTCTGACCTTTCGTCTGGCTACGTGAGGCGAACCGCAGTTGACCACTTTAAGTATGGGTTGGGTTCGCCCCAGAAAAATTATCCCCAAACCGGCGAAGAGCCCGCATTTTCTCCGTCCGACCAATTTCCACCGGCAGACTGGCGCGCAACGACATAAAAAAGTGCGTTCTTGGCGCACGCCAGCTGTGCCGCCTCTAACCCGCGAGCGTTAGCTGCTGCAGACTTTTTAGGACGGTGCTCTTCGTATTCTCTGGCATTCGTGTGGTATATCAATATATTTTTTCTTTTAAAGACGCGGTATATTTTTCTTTGTCCCTGAAAAGTGATCGTTGCAATTCTGGCAAATCGAAATAATTCGCTGAAAAGATAAATTAAGTTGGTTTTCATTCCAATTGCTGCGAGCTCATTTGAAGAGGAAAAAAGACCTATATTCGTGTGATATTACCACAGATACACGCCCGATTAATGAAATAAGGAAGCTTTTTACGTCTGTTGTGGCGGAGTCGTGGTTATCTCGATTAGATACATCAAATAACTACCGGTCAACAAGTGATTATATATCCAAGATAATTGTCTCCTAAGGTTTTTCCCTTATGCAAGATTAGAATTCCACAGGCAATCTCGAATCCATATGAATGTAACGCGTGTTCAACCTAATTGTTCAATTTTAAAATAAAAAACGCTGAGTAATTGTATTATTATGTGATTAGATTGTTATTGCTACGGAAATTCTGAGTTAGTCTTGTTTATGTAAGATGGATATTCAATGGGAGAGTTTGACATGTACGATATAAATAAGACTAAATATTAGTTGAATTTAGATTTATGTATATTCAATCATTTTCATAAAATCTTTTCAAAAAGAAATAATATGCCCTGATTATATTCAATCAGCCGTAAGGAGTCTGCGTTCTGTTTTCCAATGAGAG